AGTCCCGCATCGGGCTCCCTGCTCGGCGGGGAGTCTGCTTCTCCCTCTGACCCTCCCCCCTCTCATGTACTCGCTCTCTCTCTCTCAAATAAATAAAATCTTAAAAAAAAAAAAAAAAAAAAGAAGGTACAACAAACAGTGCTGTCAAACCCTCTCAGATGAGGACAAGTTATAATTCATCTTCAAAACATTTATGTACTGGATTGTATATGCCTGGCTATTTAAAAGGGTGAGATTTCTCTGTTTTTGCCATCTCATTAGTGGACTGCCTGTAGGGTGCACCACAGTCTGGTTTGATGCTTACTCAAAATAAATCCATTTTCCTTTTTTTCTACATTTGTGGAGAGGAATTTCTGGGTTGGTAGGAGTTTTTTCATTCTTCCCCTAGCAATTACCACAGTGTATTTTTCAGTAAAAACCAAACTACAGAACAATATATATCGTATTAATCCTGTATAGCATAGTATTTCCTGTTTTTAAAATAGACGGTTATCTGTATTAAACCATTAAAAGTTTTTACTTCTGTGAAGAACTGGAGAGGAAGAATTCCGGTGTTTATTTTATCTACAGCTGCAGGATTTGTTCATAATGAACATACTTCAATACTTCCACAGTGAAAGCAAAACACCTCACTGGATCTTCTGTGTTTTCATGAATTGACATTAAAAATACTGTTCATAAAAAAAAAAAAAAAAAAAGCATGTATATATTTTTCCATGCAAAACCATTTTTCCTAAGATGATCTATTTTTTTTCCTAAAGAAAATTCATATAAATAGTGTAGCTTTCACAGTTTTATTCTTTGTAGATAGGTAGCAAAACACTTGATTTTGGATACACGAGACATCTTACCTGGACAATGAATGAAAGACCAGTTGTATCTGCTGTCCTCCAGGCACATGCTGGCATTGAGAAGGGGCTGGGGGTAGGAATTCCCCACAGGGGCCTGGGAAGGCATCTTCACTGGTCCTTTATAGGAGCCCTCTATGCATCTGCCTTTGCCCGTGTTGCTGGGATCAGTGCACCAGCCACAGCCTGGCTGCTCCAAGCAATGGCTGCAGGTACAATAGCCTGAACAATTTTCAGCTGTAAAAGAACACAAGTTGCAACTCACTACCGCATGTAGCTTTGAATTCAGTGCATTTAAATTACCTTTTCTAAAAGTGGTTTTTTTTTTTTTTTTTAGATTTATTTGTTCACTTAAGTAATCTCCACACCCAACGTAGGGCTTGAATTCACAACCTGGAGATCAAGCGATGCGTGTTCTTCCTACTGGGCCAGCCAGGCGCCCCTAAATTACCTTTTATTTAAACAGGCTATTCTGTCAGTCAACATTCCTATTCTAAGGTGATTTTTTTTTTAAAGATTTTTATTTATTTATTTGAGAGAGAGAGAGAGAGAGAGAGAGAGAGCGAGCACACGTGCACAAGCAGGGGGCGCAGCAGAGGGAGAGGGAGGAGCAGGCTCCCCGCTGAGCAGGGAGCCCGATGTGGGGCTTGATCCCAGGACCCTGGGACCATGACCTGAGCTGAAGGCAGACACCCAACCGGTTGAGCCACCCAGGCGCCCCTCTAAGGCGATTTCTTAAATGACACAATAAATTGAAAGAGCCCAATATCTTGCCCAACATAGAACAGGGGTTCCTCCCCTCCTCTATCAATCCCAGGATGTGGAGGCAGAAGGGACCTTAGCGGTCATCCACCAGAAAGCACTTATTTCATGCATCAGGAGAGGAAGATGTGGAGACATTACATGGATTGAGCAATACGTTTCTGTACTCTGTACTCTGTCCTACAGGGCTTGATTCTTTTTTTAAAAAAAAACATTTATTTGAGAGAGAGCGAGAGAGAATGAGTGGGGAGAGGGGCAGAGGGAGAGAGAGAACCTCAAGCAGATGCCCCAACTGAGCAGGAAGCCCCGACGCAGGGCTCAATCCCACGACCCTGAGATCATGCCCCAAGCCGAAATCAAGAGTCGGATGCTTAAGCGATGGAGCCACCCAGGCGCCCCTGCAGCGCTTGATTCTGCATGAAGGTTCCCCTCCCCTCAGGCAGTCTCCGGTCTTGCCGCTCCGTTTCACTTACGGGGGCAGCTGCTCATGGTGTACCACTCCATACACTGGCCAAAAGGGAAGGAGGCCACGTAGGCATTGGAGTCCACGCACTGCTTCATGTTGCTGCACCACATGCACTCAGAGCTGCCGCTGGTACACTCTCCACACGCCGTCCGCAGGGCACACGGCGTCCGGCACTGCTTCGCGCTGTGGTTCGCTGGGAAGCAAACCCAGGACACTTAGAGCTCCCGCCACACTGGCCAACATCAAAGGCTTTTCGGGATGGCTTGTGACCCACTAGCGTGTCATGAAATCACACCAGTGGGCTACATTAAATGTAGGAGAAAACCGAAAACACAGAGTCGTCCTGTACTGGGCTAGTCAGGTACATTCACACGCTGAGGGGAAAAAAACTCCTTCTTTTCGAAGAGCGTTAAGGACAGACATGAGGGAACAAGCGAATCTTTCCATAAGCGTGGCAGTTCTAAAGCTCCTTGCAGTGTATGGGACTCAGGATGACCTTCAGAGGTTTCACGACCCACCCGAACATGAAAACTTGTATCTGTATATTTGCGGGAAGAGGGACCACAGAATTCATTACATGCACCAAAGCATTCAGGACCCAAAAGGGTTTCCCCTACAGGAAGCTCAGAAACCATATTTTAAGACGACTCTTACAGGGCTATGAATTCTTTTCTACACCTCTGTACTCCTCAGATGACTTAGAGTACCTTCCTAAAATGAGACACGATGTCAATGGCGTCCCAAAAAGCGCGCACAAAATTCCACCTACTGCACGTGAGTCCCTCTGCAGGGTAAGATGCTCGTCTTGGCTCGTCTGCGCGCTGCAGATGCTGCCCCTGAGCCTGCCCACGGGAGGCCTGAATGTAGCCCACGGGGGAGCTGTGAACCCGAGAAGCTCCCCAGTGTGTGCTCCTCAGTACTCTCCCACAGTGCTAACACAGTTCCGGCCAGCTTCTGCTTTCTGTTGTGTAACTGCTCTCCCCATTTTTCTCCCCACTGATGCTTTCTGTCTACTGTCCCTGCAGTGACCTGCTTGCTTTTCTGATACTTTCTTTGCATTTTTTGTCCTTTTCTTCCACAGCGTTTCTCTGCCAACCTTAAGACATTTGCCTTTCAGAGCAATTCTCAGTACTTTTTACGGTCAGCAAACCAATCAATCTCATTGCTAATTACAATGTTAGCTTCTTTGAATAGTGTTAGTTATTTTTGTTTATGCTTCCGGCTCATACTATTCAGAGCCGGAGATTATTTCCTTCCACTTTTAAGTGCTGGGTTATACTCCACTTCATGTGCTTGAAATCAATACTCCCCATCTGTTTTTCCTGATCATCTCACACCTTCCAGTCTTTCACTACGCCTCCTACAGACGTCTCTCTTTCAGTGAACTTCCAATGATACATCATTCACTCAGATACTTACCAGGCCTTTCACAGACACTGCCATTGAGTGGGTTGATGCAGGTTGCAGCCTTCAAGCCCCGAGTACTGGGTTCTGACAAGATTCCACAGAATCCAGCATCACTGGGCTCAGACGGCATCCACTGGAGCAAAGTATTTGTGAACGGGGACATATCTTCCCAGCACCAGTAGGACACATTGATCTTCCGAAGGCCAACCCATGGGGTTAAGGTGAGCTTGGACTATAGGCAAAAGAGATACAGCTTTGAATATAAGAGATGTCTTGAGCAAAAGAGCCTTCTAGATAAAAACCACTAAGTTACATATGCCCTGCAGATGAAGGAAAACCTCCCCATCCCAATCGAGCCACGGCAGATTAGGACAGACCATCATGTCACCCCCCTCTACTACACTCATGCACTAGAACTCTGCCTGCCGGGCACACCACGGGGAAGCTGTATGGGGGCGCCCAGGACAAGGGTGGGTACTAGAAGCTGAAGTTCTGAGGACGTGAACTCACCATGCTCTGTGATGACTGCATTATTCGCAGCTGCTTAAGGACAAATTCTACCTTCTTCTGGGTTGTCAGAGAAGCCAAAAAGGCATTGTGGTTCCTACAGGACAATTTAGCATTGTCATAATTCTCCTTGGCAGTAGTAATTTTCAAACAGGAGTTTCCGACCAAATGCCAGCCAATGCCACAGATATTTTCTTTTGTAAAGGGGAGAGGGAAAAAAAAAAGTTTTAGAAATCACACAAAACTACTACACTACCAGTTCGAATGACTGGAAACCTAAAAGGTTTCTGCAATTTGAATTCCGTGGTACTTTACTAGGATGTGGTGAGGGCATCCGACACATTACTAAGGACCGATGCAGAATATAAGAATGTTAGACTTCACCAGTCCTATTTCCTGGATCTCAAGAGGCATAGTCTACGGTCAACTCTCTATGTCTTAGAAGAAAAAAATCTTAGGTGCCAGTGCTAGATTTCTAAACCCCCTTTTGAAGAACAATTAGAAACAAGACTAAAATCCTAAGTAAAGAACAGAAAAATGAGTATGCGGATTGGAAGGGTGGGGAAGAAAACTGGAGGACGGAAGTGAGTCGCTGAGTGAACAAGATGATGATCTTCAAAGCTTCGTTGTTTCACATCAAGTGGAAGGTAAAATCAAGGGTACACAACATCCTGAAAGTGAGGTGGAAATATCCCTCTCAGAAAAAAACAAACAACCCTACGTGATACAAGTGCAGCACACAAGGTAAGACTGGAATCTGCTCCTGTGATCGCCCCGAAGCCACCCAGTTCAGCTCCATGCCCCAAACTGCACAGAAGCTCTGTGCACTTCCTGGGAGACAGGGAACAAGCAAGGCAACTTTGCCAGAACCCAGTACCCTGGAGATACCACCAGCGAAGCCCGGGACTAGTCAGTGAGGCAAGTGGAAGGTGCCACAGGAAAGGGATCATGTAAGAGCAAATAAAGCATCTGCTCTTCCAAGTGTGGCATCAGTGTCCCTCCTCATTAAAATGTAGATTCTAGCCCCCCTCCCCTGATGTGTACCAGAATCTGACTTCTGACAAGACCCTCAGGTACTCCGCAGTACACTGAAGTCTGTTGCAATGAGGTAAAGAAAAGCAGCTCACGCTCATGCAAGCTGAATCAAGTACTCCCAAAGGGCACTGAAAAGGGGCCTGGCAGACCCTGCTGCCCTGTGCATGCTTCAGGTGCTGCACAGAACCATCGATGTCCCCCTTCTCGGAAACCCCAGTCGAGCAAATATATCACAGAACTTCTGTTGTGGCTGGCTAGCCTGAGGTCCTCAACTCTTCGTCCTGAACCTCAGATGCCATAAATTGAGGTATTCAGGACTGGAGATCACCTCACGGGGGTGCTGCTGATAAAAGCATCTCTCCTCCTTCTTGTCAGAAGGTGTTGACAGCCTAATCCCAGTGGTCAGTATGAAGTCTTCTTCACAAAGTGCCCTGCAGACTGGCTGCCAAGACTGCTGCTTTCTATAGCCAGGTGACCATAGCAGAGGCGAGCGGGGACAGGGCAGCAGGCTCGATGATATGGAGCCAAGCTGTCATTCTATTCTCCAGAGCAGGAGATGATGCTTCACTTTATTTCAAAGGACAAGAGGAGCAAATGCTTAAGAACTGTATTTTCATTTTAAAAAATAACCACAATAGTGGTATGGGGGAATGAATGGATAAAATGAGTTTGTTCCCTCTGCTGGGTTCAATCTAGGCTGCACAGTATTGGGGTGGGGGTGTGTGTGAAGTCTCTGGACCCACACACATCCAGATGCCCCTACAAGGCCTACCGGGCAGGGCGATGCATTCCTGATTGCGGGGCTCCCACTGGCAGTTCTGGTCCAGGGCACAGCTCCTGCAGCTGGTCTTCTTGTTACAGTAGTACATGGGGTTATCCTTGGGACAATTCTCGTATCTGGAAATGGAGATCTAGAACACAGTGGACAAAAGCTTTTCTCTTAATCCACGGACAGAACTCACGGGGAGGACAAACAGGATACTAAAATCAACAAAATCTAATTGAGGAAGCAAACTGCAAATAAAGAAATAAGTAAGATGCAGATAAAGCAGTCCTGCAGGGAAAACAGTGTGCTGAAATCTTCTGCACAGGGCATGCCCTGACATGGCAAAGAGGCAATGCGCTCTTTTAAACACCATGCTTTAACCTGCTCATCTGTGAAATGGGGGTGTTCAACCTGCTGCTTTTCAAATGCCTCCCAGTCTAAAACTTTCATATTTTATGAACTGCTTTACAGAATAAGCTGTCAAAAACTACAGAGGCTGAGTCACTGTATTTTTTTTTGCCCTATAACCTAAATAAAAAAATCATAAATGATGAGCATAAATTATACTGAGCCACGATGTAACATAAGACAAGGAGATTTTGCAAAGTTGCCTGACTCACCTTCAGTCTCAAGTCCTAACTTGCTCCCAAGAGCTTGCACAGGTAGAGTGAGCTCACTGTGACAAGCCTCACACCAAGCATCTAGGACCTAGCGACAGCCATGCCTAGGGGATGGGGAGTACACAGAGTAACAGTCCTACCTTCTTCTAAGATACTACACACCAATCCTTGTGGCTAGCAGGACCTTCGAAATTAGGATGTATATAGCATCCCTTCCTAAAAGAAAGCCTGAGCAATAATAAACTCTAAAACTATACTGGAGGTGTTAAAAATCCCTCTGGGCCAGTATTTGTATCATACACACCATAATCTCACACCTAACCACCCCCCTGGGGTTTTTTCATCCTCTGAAACCCTTGAGAAGCGGCCCCTGACCTGGCCTTCCGTGCAGCTGTGGTTCACGGGGACACAATGGTCACTACACCAGTGACAGTCATTGGTGTTGGCTGTGCAGCTGTAACAATCCGTGTGCTGGTCACATCTGTCGTGGTCAAGAGCTATGAAAAGAAGAAAAACTCATCAACTGTGACAGCTTCTCCTTAGAATAAGTCACAGGACATTTACAGCTGCTGTTGAGCACAATCTGAGACTAAGGTTTTTTTAAAAAAAAGTAACAAGGGTTGGCAAGTAAAATAGGAAGAAAAACTGGCAGGAAGATATATCAGTGTGTTCAGGTTAAAAGAGTACTTAGAAATAAGTAAACAATATGAAGAAACACTATTCTGTAAAGCTCCCTGCCCCCAACAAAAGTACAGAGAGAGGGAAAAACAAAGATAGGTTACTTTAACTCAAGGACAATGAGATATAATGGAAGTAGGTCTGCTTCTTTGAATACTTTTCTTCCCAAAAAAAGCAACCAGCAACAGAAACACCAAGAGCTGCCCAAGAGCCAAAGTAATGTAGAAGACCAAGCCGTCCCCCCCAGCTACAAATGCAAGGCTAACCTGGGCACAGGAAGCGGGCAGCACCACAGAACCCCAAAGGAGACACTAGGCTGAGCTACAATCTACACATGTATGTAAGTCTAAGAGTGCAAGTTTCAGAATTCTGGGCTACTACAGACCTGCTGCATCTCCTACTGACCCTAGACAGGTCAAGGTCAGCAACAAAAAAGAGGCTGCACAACCATGTTGCTTGATCTACTGATCCACTTATGGTCATGGCACATGGGGGAACCCATGGACAAGATAAGGTAGTCCCCCCTCCCCCCGCAAAGCATGCTCCTTAGGCTACTCTACCTGCCCTGGTCATCACCCCCAGGACTGGGTCCACACAGAAAGCAGAGTGACCAGGGATGCGACATTTGAGATGAGTTCACGGCAAAGAGGTTTATATTGAACCACCTATAGTAATTAAATATTACTTTCGATACTCTTGCACATTTAATTTGAACTTTTAAAATTTGGTTAAAAAAAAAACCAATTTCACAGATTTTATTCCTTCGAAGAGACGGTGTAGACACTGTCTAACCCTACCAGGTTCTGGTCCTCTCAGTTTTCCAGCACTCACTGGGAAGTTGTCTGGGTGTCCTTTTGGGGATTTATGCTCACCTTAATTTGGAGCATTCCAGTAGAGTGAAAGCTGACTCTATCCACCATAACCCTCAAGGTAACTTGCTACACCAACTCCAACAGTTAAGAAATTCAGTCAACATTCTTTAAAATAATTGAAGTGAACAAATATTTCGCAGAGACTTTTTTTTTTTGAAGGATTTCTCAGCTATTACATCACTGTATTACACTGTGCTCTATCTCAGAGCAAAAACATAAGCAGCTAAGTAGGCAAGATGAAGAAAGCTTGGAAAACATAAGGGGTGGTTTTAGAAGCCAGGACCACTGGTCAACCTCAGCAACTCTCTGTCTTGTTATCACTGCTGTGCCCAACCAGAGAAGCTAGAAAGGAATGCTTTGCAAAGAGGGCACCACTACCTCCATCCTCTACTCCACCATAGTTTTTCTGGGCTGGCCCTCTTAATCTCATCCTTAACATTAGAACTGCATAATCCAATAAGGTAGCCACCACTAGCCTCATGTGGTTCTTAATTTTAGTTTAAAATTCAGTTCTTCGGTCACACCAGTCTCATTTCAAGTGTCTCTGGCTGGTAGCTCCCATACTGGGACAATGCATAATAGTACATTTCCATCATCACAAAAAGGTCCTGTTGTATTGCATTGCCTGGGACCAACTGCCAGGCTTAGGAGTTGGTATACAAAATCTGTGCAATGCCAGGGGGGTTTTGTCTCCATCACTCACAGACAGCTTCTAGGAGCCACATGGTGTTCCCATCCACTGTAAAGAGGTTTACAAAACTATCTTCAAACACCCAAAAGGCCTTTGCACCAGTTATTACCAAACAATTTGGGATAATAAAATGAACACAAAAAATGCACATATGCTAAATACCTTCATAATTCAGACAAAATGAGATTTCAAATTAATTAAATTTTAAGAAAAGGAAAAAGACATACTTCTTTTGGAAAAACATTCTGATTTTAACTTTTCTTCTTGTGCTTCAGATGCCAACTCCCAGGAGATACACTGAGATGACCCTGTATCCCACACACACCGGATGCCAGGTCCTGCTGCCAGGCAAGCAGCTTCGCTCCGGTGTGCTCCACACCTTTCTGAGGTGAATACAAGGATGTCACTGAGAAGGAGACTATTGAAACCACCAAATACATACATGGTGCTAAAAGGGGGGAAAAAAAAGGAGAGGAGTAGTTTACTGAAAGTTTCTATATACAGATGCATGATAGGCTTTCTACAATCTTTAGACAAAATGTCCCCAAATATCCATCAATTCAGGATGTGATGTGAGTAAACTATGGTACATCCACACAATGAACTAGCAGTTGGTAGATGTAAAAAGGATTGAGGACGATTTCTACATACTGCTATGGGGTGATCCTCAGGATATACTGCTATGTGAAAAAAAAGGAAATGCAGAGAAAAGTATATATTGTATGCAACCATTTATCTAGTGAAGGAAGAAGGAAAACACACACACACACTCTTTTTTCATTTTAAAAACAAGAACAATGGGGCGCCTGGGTGGTGCAGTCAGTTAAGCGTCCAACTCTTGGTTTTGGCCCAGGTCATGATCTCCGGGTTGTGAAATCAAGCCCCGCGTCAGGCTCTGCATTCAGCATGGAGTCTGCTTGGGACTCTCTCTCCCTCTCCCTCTGGCCCTCCTCCCCCCTCAAATAAATCTTTAAAAAAAATTTTAAATAAAAACAAGAAAACAAAACAAAGCTTCTCTTTAACTTATCTTCTTTTTTAAAAAAGATTTTTATTTATTTATTTGCAAGACAGAGAGAGAGAGAGAGCGAGAGAACGAGCAGGGGAGAGGGGCAGAGGGAGAGGGAGAAGCAGGCTCCCCGCCGAGCAAGGAGTCGGATGCGGGGCTCAACCCTGGGACCCTGGGATCATGACCTGAGCCGAAGGCAGATGCTTAACTGACTGAGCCACCCAGGCACCCCTCTTTAACATATCTTCTTAAAAGGGCTAGAAACAATGACCAACCTAGTAGCAATGGATATGACTAGTACTTAGATTGTGGTATCTAAAAACCATTCTTTCCCTAACCCCTCAAAAAAAAGACTAGGACTCTTTAGAGGTAATCCCTAGGAAGTCAGGTTTAAAAATAAAAACAAGAAAAAACAACTAGGCAGAAAAAATCAGCAGTGGTACACTGGGGAGACAGACTCTAGAATTAGTCTAGGCAAGACACTAAACAAACAGTAACAACAACCCCCAGTGGTGATGGTGGGAGAATCAGAATCCACATCTGATTATTACCTAAAAGGCTTGGTTTTCAACGAAATGTTACAAGATATACAGGGGAGTCTGGATGGCTCAGTCGGTTAAGCATCTGCCTTTGGCTCAGGTCATGATTCCAGGTTTCTGGGATTGAGCCATGCATTGAGCTCCCTGCTCAGCGGGGAGTCTGCTCCTCCCTCCACTCCACCCCCTTGCTCGTGCTCTCTCTCTCTCTCAAATAAATAAATAAATAAATAAAATCTTAAAAAAACAAAAACAAAACCAAAAAACCAAAAAAGTGTGAACCAAACAGAGGAAGCAAAACAGTCTTTGAGGGGACCCACATGTTGGACTCAAAAAACAAAGGCTTCAAATCAGCTATTACAAATATATTCCAAGAAAACTATGTCTGAAGAATTAAGTCAAAATAGGATATCAATGACTCAATAAGTAAAGACTATCAATAAGGAGACATAAATGATAAGGAATAATTAAAAGGAAACTCTGGAGTTGTAAAGTACAATAAGTGAAATGAAAAATTCACTAGAGGGACTGAGGAGACTTGAGCTGGCAGAGGAAAGAAACAGTGAACTTAAAGACACATCAATAGTGATTGTATAATCTGAAGAAAAGAAATGAAAAAATATCAAAGAAAATGAAAAGAGCTTCAGAGACTTGCAGGACACTGTCAAGTATCCAACATAAGCATAATGGGAGTCCCAGAAGGAAAGAAGTGAGAGAGAGCAGAAAACATACTTAAAGAAGTAATATTTGAAAACTCCCCAAATTTGATGAAAAGGATTAATCTATACATCCATCCACAAAGCTCAACAAACTCCAAGTAGAACAATCACAAAAAGATCCACGTTCACACACATTATAATCAAAAACTGCTGAAGCCCAAAACAAAGAGAAATTCTTAAAAGCAACAAAAGTAGGATAACTCTTCACATACAAGAGAATCACATTAATATTAATGGCTAAGACACAATGGAAGCCAGAAGGCAGAGGAATAAGATACTGAAAGTGATGGAAAGAAAAAAAAATTTGTCAAATAAGAATTCTCTATCCAATAAAATTATCCTTCAAAAATGAAACTGAAATAAAGACCTCCCCAGATAAACAAAGACTAAGAAAATTCTTTGCTGTCAGGTCTGCCTTATGAAAAATAGTAAAGTAACAATAATAGTTGAAGACTTTAATATCTCATTCCTAATAAGAGAACAACTAGGCATAAAATCAAAAAGGATACACAAAACTTGAACAACATTATCAACCAATTTGACCTACTGGCATCTGTGGAACACTCCACCTAAACAGAGCAGCACACATATTCTTTTTAAGGGCACATGGAACATTCTCCCGGGGAGACCATATATGCTAGGCCATAAAAAAACAAAAACAAAAACAAAACTCAGTAAGTGTTTTTTGTTTTTGTTTTTTTAGGAAAGGAAATATTCAAAGTATGTTCTCTGATCACCAAAATGGAATTAAATCATAAATCAACAGGTAGCAAATCTGTGAACTCCACAAATACTTGAAAAATAAACAACATATTCTGAATAACCTATGGGTTAAAGAAGAAATCACAAGGAAAATTAGAAAATACTTTTAACTAAATGAAAACAAAAATATGCCATTTCAAAATTTATGGGTTGGGATTAAAGTAGTACTTAGAGAAAAACTTACAGCTTTAAACACATCTATTAGAAAAAAAAAGAATCTAAAATCAATAACCTAAGCTTCCACCTTTATTTTTTTTTTGAAGATTTTTATTATTTATTTATTTATTTATTTGACAGAGAGAGACACAGCGAGAGAGGGAACACAAGCAGGGGGAGTGGGAGAGGGAGAAGCAGGCTTTCCGCAGAGCAGGGAGCCTGATGCAGGGCTCCATCCCAGGACCCTGGGATCATGACCTGAGCCGAAGGCAGATGCTTAACGACTGAGCCACCCAGGCGCCCATGCTTCCACCTTTAGAAAAGAAAAGCAAACTAAACCCAAAGCAATCAGAAGGGAGAAAATAATATCAAGAAGAAACAATAAAATATATACAGAAAAATAATAGAGAAAAATGAAATCAGAAATTTGTTCTTTGACAAGATCAATAAAATTGACAACCCTTTAGCTAGACTGACCAAGAACAAAGACAGAAGATAAATTAACAAAATGAGGAATGAAGAAGGGACATCTTATTGACCTTACAGAAATTAAAAAGCATATGAAGAAACAGGAACTTTTATACCAACAAATTAGACAACTTAAATGAAACAAATTCCTAGCAAGACTGATTATTGGAACTATCTAGTTCCTCAAAAAATTTAAAAACAGAACTACAGTATGATCTAGAAATTCCACTTCTGGGTATATAACCAAGAGAACCGAAAGCTAGGACTCAAAGAGATATTTGTACATCCATGTTTATAGCAGCATTATTTGCAATAGGCAAAAGGTAGAAGCAAACCAAGTATCTACTGACAGAAGAATAGATAAACAAAATGTGGTATACATATATGAGAATATTATTCAGCCTTAAAGGAAAGAAATTCTGACACCTGCTACAACATGGATGAATGAACCTTAAGGATATTATGCTAAGTGAAATAAGCCAGCCACAAGAGGACAAATACTGTATGATTCCAGCTAAAGGTACCTGAAGTAGTCAACTTCATAGAGACAGGAAGTAGTGTGCTGGTTGCCGAAGGATGGGGGCAGGGCAGAATGGGAAGTTAATGTTTAATGGGTAGAAAGTTTCAGTTTTGTGTGATGAAAAAAATTCAGGAGATGAATGGCAGTGATTATTGCATACAATGTGTGCTATTAAACCCACACGTCAAAATAATTAAGATGGTAAACCTTACATTATGAAAATTTTATCACAATCAAAAAAAAATCTAAAAAAACTGCTTGGCAAGAAATAGAAAATCTGAACAGATAAACCTATCACAAGTAAAGACTGAATCACAATTTTAAAATCTTTCCACAAAGAAAAGTCTAGGCCCAGATGAATTCTACCAAACATCAAACATGTCAAGTGTAATACCAATCCTTTACAAGTCTTTCCAGGAACTAGGAGGGGGAAAGAATACTTCCTAATTTATTCTGTCCAATATTAATCAGACAAATATATCATAAAAAACCCCCACAAAACTATGGAGCAATATCCCTCATGAATACAGACAGGACATTTTTGAACAAGGACATTTTGTGGGTAATGGATATGTTATCTCAATCATGGTGATCATTTCACAAGTGTATACTCACGTCAAGTTATCAAAGTATATGCTGTAAGTATATTCAATCTGTTGTGTGTATCAACTCTACTTCAGTAAAGCTGTTAACAGGCCATATATGCAGAATCACACATATTCAAAACAAAAGCAATTGTGTAGTAGCTCCAGGGAAAGTTCTTAAAATGCTACTGTGGGAGGCCAATGCCAGCAAATGATGCAGTTGGTCTCGAGGGTACACTGGGCCATATCCACCACATACACAGTATGTCTGTGCCTCTCGTGTGACATTTGCTGGGACATCCTCAATCCTGCCAACCACTGTGCCAGATTAGAACCTGAAGAAAGAGTTAGGCTGGAGGCTATATAGACCAGAGACACAACGCTATCCTTAAACATAATAACCTCTGGCAAAAATCTGAAGAACAGAAACAAGATCATTTGGCAGAAGAGACAGAGAAGTGGATTCCAGATAATATAAAGGAGAACCTGCTAATGACAGGTGTCTACAGAAAAGGAAGCAGCTTCCTTCTTAGGTGGGTTTTCCATCCCTGGACATGTTTAAAGGGGGTGACTGCAGTAAGTGGAAATTTTGAGCAGATGACTTCAGATCTCTTCCGACTCTGAGATCCTATGATCTGCCAGGAAGTTGAGAACTAACCCACAGTGAGGCATCAAGAAATTCACTCTCACTTGCCTCAATTTCCTTCAAATTAACACAAGACTAACTTACTAAACGCATAAAGACTTTTGTGGCTAAGTATGTGTTATACACTATATCTAAAAATGGACACATTTCAGTGACCAAAAATGGTCACTGAATTTCTAATCTCACTATTGGTTTAGTATCACATTTTTTTAGCAGTCTGGATTCAACTCGTCAATCTGCTGCTTAAACCAAATAAGCTCCACCACCACCCCCCCAGGACAGCTGGTGTTTTCAGCAATTCTGAATCCATCTGGTCACACGTGGGCTATGTGAGGTACGAAGAGCCCTTCAAAAAGGCCTGGAGCAGGCAAGTGAAAGGAACAGCTGCTTCTTCGCAGCCCCAGTGCCTCACGGCCAGCTCCTCACCCCACCTCCCTCACAAAAACCACGAGGACAGCAACTAAGTGAGGTATGGCCGACCCAAAGCTGCTGACGGTCTAAGAAAACCACCACTTGGAATAAGAAGAAATGATACCAAAGTTTCTCTCCCAGTAAATTCTTTCACAAAATGAAACTAGTCATGGCCTCTCTTGTCATCGGCTGCCCCCTCCAAACGGATGATTCACAGATAGGCCCAAATACACCATTGGAATTACACAGAAATGAAAACATTATTATAAGTCAGGCTAAGAGCTGCTACAATTTAGAGAATGTCTATGATGTGCTAAATACTGTGCTAGGAGAACCATGGGCACAAAGATGAATAAAGCAGAGGCCAGGCGCCCAAGGTAATGACAAAACAGCCCCACTGCTTTTCAGATGAAAGCATTAAGAGGGACTCACTAGAAAACTTCAGGGTATTCCTCACTGAGGAAGTATCAGCCTACAATTTAAGACGACACTTCAAATGAGTAAGGGTGTCAGGCTGTACTCTCCCATGTTCTCACAGGAAAACCACGTTTATCACTAAATTGCAGCTGAGTGATTACTTTAAAAAGTTGTCACCTTTTCCCAATATCTAACTATCTGAATTTTGTCAATTCTTCCTTCATGACATTGGCAAGACATGCTGCTGGCTCATCTTTTCTAATTCCAGGTCTTCATCTCATCTTGCATCATAACAACAGAAATTTTGAAAGCCAAGGAATCCTAACATAATGTAGGTGTTGTAGCACTTAAGTAATTCCAGGATCGATAAGGCTCAGAATTTTAGGAGGAGAAACAGACAATACTCATAACAGCTGAAACAAAATGGGAAAAATTAAGAACGTGATTAGGCTGTTTAACAGATCACCAATTTTTATTTATTTTTTTTTTAAGATTTTATTTTTAAGTAACCTCTACACCCAATGTGGGGCTCAAGATCACAACCCTGGGGTCAAGAATTGGATGCTCCACCGACTGAGGCAGCCAGGTTCCCCAACAAATCACAAATCTTTAAAGCACACTGTGAGGAATGGGCAGAGTGTCCATTCTGGATCCCCCTTCTCCAGGGGCAGATTTATTTAGCTCAGGCCAGGCATCTCTGAGTGATGCAATGAAATGCAGTACAGACTTCAGAATATCCAAAGACTGCAGATTTATCTGTTTGAAGCTTCACAATCTCCCCACCTCTGTTCCTCGATCCTATCTCCCATCCGAAGTGTCCTCTCTCCTTTTTTTTAATCCCTCCTTACCACTCAGATGCAGTGATAAGAAACCTGACAACCCAAGTACTGCAAACAACAGTGACCAGCGGGGGACATAAGACAGTAACTGCACAGAACTGTTGTCCCATGCATTCAGACAGCACCAATCATAGCATACTCCCGCATGCTAACAAACTTGGCATCAGAAGTAATTCAAATCCACATCAGACATTTAAAAAAAATTTTTTTTAAAAAGATTTTATTTATTTGACAGAGAGAGAGAGATAGTGAGAGCAGGAACACAAGCAGGGGGAGTGGGAGAGGGAGAAGCAGGCTTCCCATCAAGCAGGGAGCCCAACGTGGGACTCGATCCCAGGACCCTGGGATCATGACCTGAGCCGAGAGCAGACGCTTAACGACTGAGCTACCCAGGTGCCCCACATCAGACATTTTAAATAGAAATCAGGAAATTCAGACCTACATAATTCTGTGACAAACTAATGGGCTGAAGGGATCCTGCAAATAATATGTTAAGTCCAATTCCACTTCTTCATGTTCAACTTTGCTTACATTTTAAACACAAGAGAAAAGGGACAAGCGCTTCTTCAGTTAAGTACCTGTTGTGTAAGACTGCTGAATGGCCAAATCTGTTGACATCATGGTGGAGATCAGGTCTGGGAAGCACTGACCAGCGGTCACAAGCTAGGAGCAAAAAAAATACATTTCAGATGGAACCGCTCTTCCTAATCAGTGGGAAATGGCATCTTCTTTGGGGAGAAGACTGTGACAAGCACAACCTCATAAAATGTATCTCTTGGTTTTTCTTAATCATGCCATTATTTCTGAGGTAAAATACAGCAAGAGCAGAACAGCAGGGCATGGAAGAAGGGTAGAACGATACGGCAATTCTAATTCATGAATGCATCCAACATCCATGACACTCACATCACTCATTCTGTTGCCCATCAATTTTACCCACTAGCACGCTTCTTAACTTAGGTAAATTTTATATTTTTCAAAACTTATGTAAGTAAAATATGTGCATTCTGTAATTATTTTCCACTCCATGTTGATTTGCCCAAACTCAGCAGCTAAAACAGGAAAATACAGGTGAAAAATGAAAAATAAAAATAAAAAAAAAATTCAAACTTCAAGTCCTTTCCTAGAACCCCTAGGATCTACTGATTTTCCTTTGTTCTGACCCATGCTAGCAATTCTCTTCTGGACCTTAATCTAATTGACACCGCAAAACCCTGCCAACCTCACTCATACTCGCTCTCTGAAACACTCAGACATTCACGCTCACTAAGCAAACACTCTTCTATTCGATCCAGACCTTTATTCAATCTTAACAACAATAGCTTTCACTTCCTCCTCCCCAGACTAGATTCCTTGGTCTTCACATGGAGAAGAGGCCATCAACTCTCATAGCTTCCTGCCCACCCACCTTGCTTCTCTCCCTAAAACCACAAGGTGGCAGGAGCTCCTTCCTCTTGTCCCATCTGGCTTTTAAATGTGCTCTAGGAGGCACTCAACTATGCCTTCTCTTCCCTTCACAGAGAAGTGGGTTTTTTTTTCGTTTTCTCTTTTTTTTTTTTTTTTACTATAACAGTCAACCTTCATGGTGTACATCTCACCTTACATGACTGCAATCTGGATTACTCCTTCCTGTCTAGAGGCTAACAAACAACATCACTGTTGCTAAATCCAAAAGGCTCTCCAGGCCTTGTTTTCCTTAAGTCCCCTGCAGCCACTAGTAACTGCTCTCTCACAGCTCACCGATCTTGCCTCATGTTCCTCCTGCTTCTCCAACATGCTTGCACAGTCTCCACTCTCCCGCAGACTTTTTACCCATCCGTTCTCTGGCTCTCTGCTCATCCCTGATGATACATGCTCTGTAGAGGCTCGCCCCTGCTTTGGGCTTCCCACTGACCTCCGTATGCCTCGGTCCCATGGTCATCTCCAGCTGAACATGCCCCCAAACCCATTTTACTCCCTTCCTCCCAACCCAGTCCCTCTCCTTCTACTTCCAGCCTTGGTAAAAAGCACCGTCTACCACGGTTTTGACAAAACACCACCAAGTACCTGGCAATAAGGATGTGTCCGCCTCTCTCAAAACACACCCCAACAATCCCCAAGTTCCCAGCAGTTCTCAAACCCACCTCTCTCTTTAACCTCACTGCCACTTCAACAGCCTTGGTTCCAACCCTCCTCGGGATTTTGCAACAGCCTCCGAACTCCTATCTTGCCCCTTCCCAACTACTCACCACAATGCCACAAAGACATCTTCTTAAGACACAAATACTACTCCATCAGCTCTTCTGTAAGATTCTTCAAAAAGCCCAAATTCCTTAGCATGATGTAACAGGTCTCTCAAGATCTGACTAGTCTGCTAGCTCTTTACTTCTCTAGTTCTGCCAGAAGCCATTCCTCCCCGATGCGCAGCTGATAACAGCCAAAACTACTCAAGAGGCCCCAAGTATGTGGCAGGGTCTCTTTTTGCCTCTGTGTCTCCATGTACTTGGGCTTCCTTCATGTGGGAAGTGCTGCCTAACCTCACCTCACTGACTTCCTCGGGACCCAGACCCTACTCAAGAAGGCTTGCCCTGATCATAACCCTTTTGCTCTTGAGTTAAGGCATGCCCATAGATGCTCTCATATATTCCTCTCAGAGCAAGTAACACCCTGAATTGCAATTATATTGTCTGCTCAGCTTTCTGCCTCCCCCACTGTGAGGGCAAGCACTGTAATTTACTCATCTTACAATCCCCAAGCTCAGTGGCTGGCACACGTATGTCTGTTAAAAAAGAACATCTGATGATACTTAACACAAGAGAATTTCTAGGATTTGTTTTGCATGAACAAATACTGCCCTCTTCTGGTCAAGTATATTACCACTCCAAAAAACGTTTAAATTCCATATCAAAGTAGACTTCAAAAATGTGTAAAACCAATTTTTTAGGGAATGCGATAAAGCTATTAGTTAAACCAACTTAACACAATGCTGGTGGTCACAACTACATAAGACTATTTTTCTTAAAAATTTTATTTATTTATTTGACAGAGAGAGCGCACAAGCAGGCAGAGCGGCAGACAGAGGGACAGGGAGAAGCAGGCTCCCCGCTGAGCAGGGAGCCCGACCGTGGGGCTCCATCCCAGGACCCCGGGTTCATGACCTGAGCCGAAGGCAGACGCTTAACCAACTGAGCCACCCAGGCGCCCCCTACATAAGACTATTACATAAGGCATTTGTTTGTAACACAGAAGAGCAGTTGGTCACCCCAATTCACCCTCAAAAATTAACATTCAACCAATTAATGGGAGTAATTTCACTTAATAGAACTTAATATAGAAAAATATATTAAAAACTTAAATAAGAAATATAAACAAGAACTCAATATAGAATGTTTTTTTTTTTAAACAGATGTATAGTATTTGTCACATGAATATAAAAAATACCATTTGGACCTCTTTCAAATGGCCTGACACTTCCAACTAGCGATATTTTCAGTTTCTTTTAAAATGCTGCTTACAGGGGCACCTGGGTGGCACGGTTGGTTAAGCGTCCGACTCTTGATTTTGGCAAGGGTCATGATCACAGGGTCATGAGATCGAGCCCTGCACTGGGCTCTGTGCTGGGTGTGGAGCCTCCTTAAGATACTCTCTCTTTCCCCCTCCTCTGCCCCTCCATTCCCGGCTCCTGCTCTCTCTCAAAAGAAGAAAATGTTGCTCATAGACAAAAAAGATTCTTGAAACTAAAATGGCTTTAGGAAACTTACCAATGTCATAAGCCATAAAATCCGAAGAGAAGCATTTGGCACCATGGCTCATGGATGTGTCATTGTGTGTGTTTCCTCCAAACACCAGCATGGTTCCACTCACTATCACAGCTGTGTGTAAGTAACGGAAAAATCGGCTGTCCTTAAGAATGGTCCTTTTGAGTTTATTTAAAGATAATAAATACAAGGTTAGTTTTTTAGAATATTTATCATCTATCTGCTAATGCAAACACAACCATTTTCTTAACTTCAGATCCAAATGTGCAAATACTTCTAGATTTTTCCCTATATATAAATAACTTTCTCAACAATAAATAAATATGTAAAATCTTAAGGCCTGTGAGAATTTTGACAAAACATATTAAGAGTCTTAAAACTGTTCCTACCTCATATGACCCTGTACTTCGTTTCTGGGTAGAAATCACATCAAATACAGACAAAAGCTTATAATACAATGCCTTAATAATAAAACAACTAGAAACCAGAACTTCTAACTGCCCCATCTCAGTACGCCCACATGACAGAGTATTTACCCAGCCACTAAAAATGATAGACAGAATGTAAAAGGGTATCCCAGAGCATGGTCTCAAATATGTAAGGAAATACAAAAAGAAAGAAGAGAAATCATTGCTTTATATAATGACATTATTTCATAACTCAAATTTGTTTTACATTTATTAAAATTATCACACTTTATATATAGTTCAGTTTATAGCAGAGGGAGGAGAGTTCTAATTCAGGTCCTGAGACCACCTCTGTTTGATGATTTCATGCAGGGATGCCAGTAACTAACCCCAATGATGACACTTTAGTCATCAAGAAAAGGTTAAAAAATGGGTATGTTTTACTTAATTACAGCAATGTGCATACATTACAGCTTTGTAGAACAATTTATTCCTCAGGGTTTTGAAGAGCTAAAATTTTATAGAGGTACTGAGTTTATGAAAATTGAAAAAATAGTCAAAAAATATCAAGCATTTTCTAATCAATCTACTACAAAATTACAGAATAAGGCTACAAAATAAATCCTAGCTACATTATTACCTTCTGCTTCTTTCCCAATTTCTCTACCAACAATGCTGAAGAGAATTACCTGTTAGGCCTGAAAACAAAAATATAGCCCAATATTTTCCCGACAATTGCTAGAATTCACACCTTAGAGTAAAAGCTCAAGAAAAAGCACCCACCACATCTGGGTGTCCACATCGTATCTGTAGAGATCATCTGCGAGCCGGTATTTATTGGCGCTGAAAGCCTTGTAGCCCCCATGAACATACAGGGCCTTGGTCCTGTGGTCATAGACACTGCTATGACCATAGCCCCCTTGGACAAGGGCACCGCTGGTTTGTAATATACTCCATGTGTTCTTAGCTGGAAGAGGAAAACAGTTAAAGGCAAATATTGCAGGCTCCTCCTAATACTTAAAATGACCAATTGGTTTAAAATAAGAGATTTCAGGAGGCTTGATACGTATAGATTTCTTTTATCTTTTTATTTTTAAAAGGAGGCCATCTAAAACTTGTAACAAAGCCAGGTGGCCAAACATCAATCTGTTAAAATGTTCTGACGCGCTACTATACCATGTAGGAAAATAATTACATTAAATTTAAAAGACTCAGATTTCCCTCAATTGAACACTTAATACCCTGAGACCTTCAGTGACCAATACACAGATGTACTTTATGGACCTACTTTCTCAAACTATCAATTAGAGGTGGTGCTCCCACACCACAACAGATACAATAAAATTTAACCAACGGCAATATTACACATTAAGGGGAAATCACAGTCCATTAAACCAATCTCTAAAGGGTCGTCTAAATTTTTTTCTTCAGAGTATCTGTTGTTCCAAATCATTTTTATTTCTTTTTCTTTTTTTTTTTTTTTAAAGATTTTATTTATTTATTTGACCGAGAGAGACACAGTGAGAGAGGGAACACAAGCACGGGAAGCGGGAGAGGGAGAAGCAGGCTTCCCTCGGAGCAGGGAGCCTGATGTTGGGGCTCGATCCCAGGACCCTGGGATCATGACCTGAGCCGAAGGCAGACGCTTAACGACTGAGCCACCCAGGCGCCCCTATTTATTTATTTTCAACACCAAAAGCATTTAGTGTCATCCTTAGCCCCTCACCAAATTGATGGTAACAAATATATACTACACAGCAGCAGCAATCATCTGCATTTCACTGGTAACACATCAACATCAACTGCATTTCAAGATAAAGTACTGGGGTCAACGTTAGGTGGAATCTTGTTAAACAGCCATAATAATAAGGGTAAAGGTTTTAAATTTGACATTCAAAAAGGATCCACTAGAAAAAATGCACCTACCCAAGTCATATTCCTGTACATTGCTTATATATCCATAGAGAGGGCAATGACCAAAGATGACCAGCATGACCACTCGGCCAGTTTTCAGTGTGACAATGTGCGCCGAGTGCCCGACCACTGCATACTGCTCCTTGGCTTTAGGGGTCAACAATACCCATGACTCATTATGAATATGGAACACTCTTAACTCATTGGTCACATTCCCTGTTGAATCAATTTTTCCTCCATACATGTAAATTTTATCCTAGGGAAAAAAATGCAAACAAAATTCTAAAAAAATCAAAAGCAGCAAACTTGAGAAAGAAAAGTTCAAAACCTCGATGTTATTCTTAGCTTAAGAAGTGCTAGTGAAATACACCTTTTAGTGAATTATTAGGAAAAGAATGAAAGGAACAACATAAAATAAAACATCATATTCTGTATCTCCAACACTTTGCCACTGTTCTTGGACTTCCTTATATGAGATGTCTCACGGTATAAAACGGCTTGGAAAAATAAAGTTGAAGAGTTCCCTCATCCTCCCGTAAACCATAAAAACAAGGAAATGAAAGTGATTATTCAGTTATATTGCAATGTGGCTATTCTTGGCTAAACTTGCTAATTAACATAAAAGCTGATTTACACAGTATTAATTTTTAACCATTTAGTACTACAATCATAATATCCCAGTACAATCTGAATCCATTAAAATCTCTCAGGTCAAGCTGGTTTCAACTTTAATTTCCACTTACAACTTAGCCAACTGTATACACCCCCCCCAAAAAAACAGAAAGTTTCTCCCTAACTAAAAACCAAAACTGAAGTCAAAATTAGAGAGACAGAGAGTAAAATGGTGGTTGTCAGGGGCTGGGGGGGAGGAAGGATATGGGGAGTTACTGTTTCATAGGCATAGAGTTATATTTTTACAAAATGAAAAGAGTTACAGAGATGAGTGGTAATGATAGTTGCCCATTAGGAATGTATTTAATACCACTGAACTGTACACTTAAAAATGGTTAAGACAGTAAATTTTACGTTATGTGTTTTTTACCACAATAAAAAAGATTAGAGACAAAACCCCAACACTACGTACCTTTTCAACTACATAATATAATAAGGCATGTGTGGAAGACTGGAGTTTCTAGCTTGGTACAGAAGGGAGACACTTTACCTTGTATAATGCTAAAGAATGGCCATATCTGACAACCACACTGTTCACGGAACGGTTCAGGGTAAGCCACTCCCTAGAAGCAAGGTCATACCTACAAAATGAACAGATCATATTTTCACCCAAATGACAAAGCAGAGTATCTTATATTCTTCTATTTGATATCATGCAGTTTGGAGATGCTCCAAACAAGCAATGCAATGAGGCAGCTCTGCAAACAAACAAACTTAACAGCTGGGTCCATGGGGCATATCAGAACTTGGGAAGGGGGGCTGGGCTGCACAACCCTGGGATGAGGAAAAAAAAATCTACTGGAAGTTTCTACGCTTCCTGAAAACCTTTTCTACATACAGTCTTAATCACTTGCAAGTTGTGTTATACTGAAGGGGCATTCACTGCCATAACTTCTCTTTCATTTAGTCATTTGAAATTGAAGACAGGTACTGAAAAAGGAATGATGATTAAGTAAAAGAAAACTAACTTTTCCTTTTCTTTATCTAATTGATTTTTTTAAAGTCATATGTTCAAGAAAGCTAGAATATCATTTGGCATTTCAATTATACAATGAATTCACTTAAAGACTTTTAAAATACGAACATTTAGTAAACATCATTCCAGACATTTTTCGATGCATATATACAAACAGAAGAATACACTGACAACATATATTTATACAAAGGGGATCATGCTATAGATACTTTTAATAGTGTTAATTTGTATATAATTTAATAGAAAAAAGAAATCAAAGGGAAACCAATGCTATTGTTCTACTTTAAATAAATGTTATTTTCTGTAAGTTTTCCTGAATAATCCAAGTTTTATATGATGAAAAACATTATTATGTAATGTTTTAAGAAGATATAAGAAAGTTTTATCGACATAAAAAGCAAAAAAGGATACAAATAAATGTCCATCAATAGAAAATGGATTAATAAATTGTAGTATATCTGTATAATAGAATTATACAGTGAAAAATACGCTCAATACATTCTCAACATAAATCTCAAAACAATGTTAAGCTAAAAAATCAAACTGCAGAATACTGTTTTGTAATGACTGAAAACAGAAAATTTATTAATTCTAATATATGTTCATGTATATTAGAAGTGTAAAGATATGTATGTGAACAAACGACACCACAAAATCAGGATATTGGTTATCTTTGAGACTGGGGAGGAGGCATGCAGGGGTTTTTAATTATATTAGCAATGTCTTATTTCCTAACCTAGGTGGTGTATGCATTAGTATTCATTATTCTTCTCTAAACCTTTCCTTTTGTCTTAAATATTTTACACATGATCTAAAACAAAATGGTGACATTTACTGAATATGAATACTACATTAATACCAGCTATTATTTTATGTATTATTTGAATATTCCACATTTTTAAAAACACATGAAAAATTATTTAGAAGTTGGATTCACTTTAGTTTTTTAAGTTACATACAAAATTAATTTTAGACAGAATCCACTAACTTCCTGCCTTGAAAGTTGAAAACCTTAGCACCCACATTTCCTCCCATTTCTTCTCCCAATTTTTGTTATGTAATCTTTACACTGTCCAGGTCTGCAATACATTCCACTCTATAACTGTGATTCCATAATTCTTTAGTACTGGACCTCTTTTTTAGCTGAAGCAATCTCCTCACCATCCTCTTACTACAACTTCTCCTTGAGTCTTTACTTCTTAATTGGCTGGGTTTTGCTGCTGAGTGGTTATTTTCTTGTGGAGCTCATAAATGGCTCCTTTCCCTAAATTCTCTGGTGTTTAAGAATATCTGCTTGCTAGCTTTACAGCTGAATGACATTTTGGCTGGGTATAATATCTTGGGCCATCCTTTCTTGCCTTCAGAACTTTGCAGATGCTGCTCCCCTGAATAATACGGATAGTGAATGCTATGATGGAGAAGCCCAAAGCCAGTCTGATTTTTCCTGTTTTTATGTGGTTTACTTTTCTGTTTGGAAGCCTGAAGAACTCTCAGTCACTCTCATTTTCTCTCCTCCTCCCTTTCTCTCCCTCCTTTCTTCTTTCTCTCTCACTAATTTTTAAAGTCACAATATTATATTTTACTTAGGCAGAAATAACTAACATCCAAACAGGGTAATGTCTTTACAAAATGGACTACGTACCACTGCAATACTTTTATGGAGCTCTGGCTGCAGAAGGTCTTTCCTGAGGACTAGCATGGCTTCTGAAAACACATGATACGCCTAATGTTCAAGCCAGAGGCCTGTCTCTCTAAGCTTAAAAGAGAGGAAAGAGGGAGCCCAAATCTCTAGATGATTTAATCCCCTTCTCTTTCAAGTGACGTGGAGGGTGCTCAATCTGTATCTTAATGCATTTTGCTCCTCCTAGTCAATGACAGGTCAGCTCTAGCTCAAGAGCTTGTCAGAGACACTAAGGCACTGGCAGGTCCCAATAACTTGGCGCACATGAACTGCCAAAAGATCTTACATAACAGGTTGTGACTCTTTTTACAACCCAGAGAAGAAAATACAAGTTAAGAAAAATATTGAGGCAATAAAGCATAAGAAATTCCAAGTACTAAATAAATTCTTCCGGGAGCTCAGTCCAAGATAATAGAATACTGAACAACTAGTTCTAAGACCTGGACAAGCAGATAAGCAAAGACAAACTTCAGGAATTCAGAAACAGGCGTCTTCCAGCTCTGCAGCCATCTCTCTCACAAACTCCTCCTTGCTGGCTGGTCTCATGATGACCATCATGGCACAGGGTAGACGGTCCACCATGCACAGTGGCCTGGTATTCCAATCACAGTGTCTGACCATCCAAAGACCATGGCAAAGGCTCTGTGCAGATTGAACATGACCCCAGCCAGAGGAGGCACAGAACTCCCTGAGGCTTCCCACCCAAGAATTTGTCCTTTATCCTAAAAGTTCAATAACTTGATCAAATTAGGTCTTGTTGAACAGCTATATAATCTTCCTGGAACTTCTTGTGCAATTTCAATCCGTTTGTCCTATTTGTTAGGTTCCTTTCTTCAGTAGCAGCAACTATCTTTATATTGGATCTCCTGTCTTCCATGTGTCTTTGCTTTTCTAATTATTTCAACCTATATTCGTTGGAATGTCTATAAAGCTGTCAGTGACTCAATTTTCATTCCAGCTTTTTCTGTATGTAATTTATTTACATTTCCTTAGATGTGTAATCTTCCATTTTATCTCACTGTTATCATTTTCTTGTCTGTTTTTTTTTTTAATTCAAATTCTCATTAGGTTGATGTGCAGCATCAAGCAGTTGGAAGCAATCTCCTTATTATTTTTCCTCTATGATCAGTTATCAGCATTTACGTGCTGTTTTCTTCCTCTTTATTTTCCCATCATAGGACATTTGCGTTAGCTACAACGTCATTTCTTTCATCTTGCTTGTGGTTAGATATTGCTCTCCAGACATTTGCAAAGCGTGGGTGATTTCTTAATTCTTTTTCTGCAGTATCTAAGACAACTTTACCCTTCCATCCTAGCTGTAGTGTGAGAGCTGACATTTTATGTTCTATCCACTGTTCTGAAGTCTGAGGACGTGCTGGGGCTCAGACAGGGGAGTATGCAGTCTATTAGAATAAACCACCCAGACTCTGCTCTCCTTGGAAATTTTAAGTGTCCTGGGTCAAGGCATAGCCCAAATTAGAAGCAGCCCTGACTTTTGGGCAGAGACAGTCAGCCACCCAATCAATTTCCCCTCTTTCCACCCAGCCCTCCACAGCAATAATTTCTTCTACTCTTCAATTAAGAGAGTGAAATAACAATGATCCCCACTCAGTTTGCATCTTTCCAGATTTGGGGTTATTTGTAAGCGCTCTCAGAATCTCACCCATATGGTTTCTGTGGGGCAAAAAAAAAGGTCAGTTGTATGGTTTCTGTGAGTCTGTTTTAAAGTTTACTGGATTAGGTGATACTCCTTTCCTCATTTGGTTACCTTCTGCTCAAATCTTTTTTTTTTCTCTTTTAGTTTTTTTTAAGACAGAGAGAGAAAGAATCTGAGTGGGTTGGGGAGGGCAGGGAGAGGGAGTGAGAGAATCTTAAGCAGGCTCCACACTCAGCACAGAGCCCAAGGTAAGGCTCGATCCCACAACCCTGAGATCATGACCTGAGCTGAAATCAAGAGTTGGATGCTTAACTGACTTGAGCCACCCAGGTGCCCCTTTACTTTTTCTTTTTAAACTTTTTTTTTTTTTTTAATTTTCTTAAAGGAAGGAAATTCAGTGATGAAGTTTCAACTGGAAATCTTAACCTAGGAGACCAAGACCATTTGTCTAAGAGGACTCTTGGGTGACATAAAATGGGGACTGCTTTTTAATGTAACTTAAAAGTTTTGGATTAACAGGGTTGTGGAAAAAATAGTAAGCTCAACTGCTGAAATACACTTATGTAAGAGCATAAATGATGATAAAACGTATAATCTAAGTTTCAGAAATCCTTCTAAAAGGAGTCACTGTATTTTTACTTTCCATGAGTTAGTAAAAATTTATTTGAAACTATATTAATTTTCTACATGAAACACATAAAGCTGTAAAAATCATGTTTTGATCAAGTACAAGCAGAAAAAATTTTCCAAACACATATGGCTCAGGAGGTATACCAGTCACATAAAAGCAAGAGGTGACATTAATATTTCCAGGAACAAATATTTGTGAGGGAAATAAATAATTCGTTTACTCTCCTATTCACCTGATAAACACTTATTTGAGCACATTCAATGAGCTAAGCTCTGAGCTGAGTGAGCAAACAAGGTCTCTAACCTCAGAGAACATGTAGTGGAAAAGGCAAAAAATAAGCAAATTCAACAAGGGGCACATACAGCATTAAAAATGATGCCCACTGCTCTAAAGGAAATGAGAACTATGAAAAAGAACAGGGAGAACCTGCCAGAACTGGATGATTGGGGAAGATCTCTTGTGGTACAGTTAACTGAGATCTAACAAGTGAGAAGAAAACAGCCCTGGGGTACAACAGCAGGAAGAGTCTGGACCAAAGGGGGGAGTGAGCACAAAGGCCTTTAGAGTAAGGGTGCACCCAGAGAGTTTTAGGTAAAGCTAGAAGGCTGAGGAGGCAGGAAAGGAACAAGTTGAGTC